AAGCGTATGAGTCGCCATTAACGGTTGAGCGGTCTTGAACATTTTCGTTGCCAATCCTTAACATTTCTTCCAGTCCATCCACATTCATTGTTAAATCCATTATCACACACAAAGCAAAAGTAGAAGAGAGGGCCCAGAGGGCAAACTAACCTGAAAAATCTCGGATTCCGTAGATCACACTTTGACTAGGCAGTTGTGAGAAAAGCATGAGCAGGTCTTCACTGTTTCGGCCTTCTGGGTCTCATCAGTGCAGTGCTGATGCTAGGGTGAGGGAAAACCGAGACGGTCACCCCAAACGACCCAACCTTTGTGGCATCGTCTAAGCCATGCCAGAGTGCTCAAACTAGAGTAAACTAGCGAGGATGCGTAATTGCAACAGCAATGACTCATCCTAGATAGAGTGCTCAATTTGGACATGAAAGCAAAGCTTTGTATGCCAAAGAGCTAAAAAGAGTGTGTGGTGAAATGTGTAAAAGATGTGATTATGTAAGAAAGCTGTAGACATAGACTGTGAGTGGAACACAATTAAGGCTCTAATGATGGACCGTTATAAACAAAGAATCTATAAAAGCGTTAAAAATGGTCTAAAAATGAGATATTGAAATAGGAGGTCTGCGAATTCACTACATTCTCCCCAGGAATTGAGTGTAGGCTTGTTTTTGCTAGTGTAAAATACTTCGTAGAGGGGTGATTAGCGGGGTCATTTTCATTCATAATAATCTTGACATCAATGCCTTCATGGTCTTTGTTTTGACAGGAATAGATATGTTTTTTCACGGACGATTTTCCATTGTTGAGGCGAAGGATGTCGTCGAATTTGTTTAGGTGTTGTGTTACAGATGTATGTGAGGAGCATCTGTGTTCGATGCGTTTTCGTTTGTTGCGGATGAAGTTGAGTTTCGATTTGGTGGGGATAGCTGATTAATGGTGGACGAATAGTGGTTTGGTGGCTGGTTTTCTGTAGAATTCGGAAGAGCTGTTGCCATCCTTGGATATGGTGACTTTGAAATCGAGTAACGATAATGACATGCCATTGGATGTTGTTTCTGGTTTTTCAGTTTCAAATATCAAATTAGGGTGTACATTGTTAATTAGATGGTGGAAGTGGTCTGCTGTTTCTATATTGGTTGTTTAGAGGTAAATGTCGTCAGCATATCTCTTGTAAGGGCTTATCATTTGGTGTGAGGTGAGGGCAATGGTTTCTAAATAATTTGGAGATATCATCAAAGTTGAAATGGTAAATTGGCCTCCGAAACGATTACAAAAGCTGACGTTTCGAGTGTTAGCCCTTCGTCGGAGCGAATAGAGGAATTGTGGGTTTTGTGTGCTTTTAAAGGCAGAAAATGGAGCTACGTTATTGGTGGGAACATGGCAACGAGAAAAACACGAATAAATTAGTGGAATGAAAAGCGTTCGTTGATCCCTGTGGGATTTAGACTGCCGGTTTGAAAGATGAGCTTTTGTTCAAGAGTTTTACGGCTTTCCGTGCTACCTAAGTGTAAGGAAAGACCGCAGATTGCCATATGTTGCTTAGAATGATTAGGTAAATTAAAATGTCTAGCGACTGGTTTCGATGTGTCCTTGTCATTCCTTTCCACGTCTCGAAGGTGTTCTCGGAATCGGTCACCTAGTCTTCTGCCTGTTTCGCCGATGTATATCTTTTTGCAATAAGTGCAAGTTATGCAATAGATTACATTGGCGGAGGTGCACGTGAAGTGATCGGTGATCTTAATGGATCGTTTAGGTCCCGATATTTTATCAGTGTTGTGAATGAAAGGACACGTTTTGCATCGTGCACGAGCGCATTTAAAAGTGCCTGGTTGGTCATTAGTCTGAAAAGAACTTCTGACCAAAAAATTGCCTATGTTTTTGTCGCGTTTGAATGAAATGAGCGGAGGCTGCGAAAAGATAGTGCTTGTCTCTGGATCGTTTTGAAGTAATTTAAAGTTTTTAAGAATGATGGATTTAACTGAGTGGTTGTGAGGGTGAAACGTGAGAGTGAATGGAATGCGGTCGGAATCTTCCTTATGCGACGTTTGTAGTGCTGAATGTCGATCAATAAGTTG